ACATTGCTCTGGGTGAGTCAGTGAGTGAGTTGTGAGTGAATGTTGGGCCTAGGACATTACTGTGTGCTTCTGTAAACTTTACAAATATTGTACACTTAGGCTACACCGAATTTATAAAAAAAAAATAAAGTAATTCCACCACAACGTTAAGATGGCTACACTATCACTAGGTGATAGGAATTTTTCAGCTCCATTATAATCTCATGGGAGCACTGTTGTATATGTGATTTGACATTATACGGTTCATGAATGTATTTTGAGAGAGAGGGAGAGACAGAGACCACATTCACATAACTTTTATGTATGTATGTATGAATGAACAAATGAATGACAAGGTTTCACTCTGTTGCCCAGGCTGGAGTGCAGTGGTGTAATCATGGCTCATGGTAGCCTCGAACTCCTGGGTTCAAGCAATCCTTCTGCCTCAGTCTTCCTAAGTAGCTAGGACTACAAGTGTGTGCCATCATGGCTGGCTAATTAAATTTTTTTTTTGTAGAGAAAAAACTTTTCTTTTGCTAGGTTTCCTAGGCTGGTCTCAAACTCCTGGCCTCAAATGGTACTTCCACCTTGGCCTCCCAAAGTGTTCAGATTACAGGCATAGACATGAGCCACTGCACTTGGCCCTTCTCATAACTTTTCTTACAGTATATTGTTGTAATTGTTCTATTTTATTAGTTGTTGTTAATCTTTTACTGTGCCTAATTTAGAAATTAAACTTTATCATAGGTATATATGTATAGGAAAAAAACGGTATGAAGGGTTTGGTACTCTCGGAGGTTTCAGGCATCCACCGGGGGTGTTGGAATGTACTCCTGTGGATAAGGAATGTACCCCTACTGTATTTAGGAAGTCACTGAAGTGGTCCTGATGAAATACATGATGTAGGCTTGCAGTAGGGTAATAGAAGTGGACATGGAAAGAGGTAGGTCAGAGCCCACCTGTATTTAGGAGGAGAAAGGGAAAAAATGGTCATTGATAGAATGTGACATTAGGGAGTAGAATGTGAAGTGGTCAAAGATTATGTATGCTAGGCATCTTGCATGAACAATGTGTGGTTGAAAATGTCATTACAAAGATAGGGAAGACTGCAGGAAAACTGCACTAAATTTATAAAAAAATAAAGTAATTCCACTACAATGTTAAGATGGCTACTTTTGAGCAGGTTTTGTCATAAATCGTTGATAAAGTGTCTGTGTAGCTTTGGAAGTTTTATATCTGGATCTGAGGACAGATCTGAATAGGAGATAAGTTTGAGAGTCAGTGGCATATTTTTGTAATTTTGTTGGTAATGGAAATTTAGATAGCAAATGAAATGGCCTAGTGTTTCACACAAAATAAGAGGGCATCTTAGGCTGCAGCCCTGAGGAACCAAAACATTTAAAGCTTGGATAAGGTGATCACAAAGGTGCTGCTGCCAGAGAAGTATGAGGAGAATCAGGAAGGTGAAATACTGGAAGACAAGAAACATAGGCTCTTATGGCTTATGTTTTCTATTTAATATTTCATCTTAATTTCCTATACTACTTTTTCCTTTGTAATTTATTTATATTACTATATTGTTTGCTGTAAAACCTTTTGGGATTAAGGCAGGGTATAAATACTAAATACTCAAGTGTGACCTTCAGAAACATGTTCTTCATAATAAGATAATGCAATTGAAACTTTCTCTGTTTAAAAAGAAGTGGTAGTACTGGCTTTTTGGTTTTAAATTCTAGGAGTGGAAAGGATAGGGAGCCACAGTAACTTCTGAGTACCATTGTGTGTGAATGATAGGAATAACTAGAATAAGTAGACTAGTTCCTTTCAGAAGGGAAGTCAGCACATGTGAGATCAGGCCTTGCCACTTAAATGAAAATTCTAGAGTTTGGCTCTAATTAGGAAAAACTAGATTTACTTGCCTGCAGTAATCCTAGCTGATCTTAGACTGAAAGTAAAGAGATAACAGGCAAATGTTACAAGCCTTGACCGAGTCCTGTGCTGAGAGGACCTTTTCGTTTTTGTGAATGTTAAGACTTAAAAAAAAATTGTGGCAGAAGTTTAAAGATTAAAATGTATTTCAAGAAAAGTTGTTTATCTCGTGTTGAGGAAGATCACTTGTCATTAAGAACAATTATTTTGTGAGGGATGTTCTGAAATATTCTTAGGGGCAACTAGTACAAATGCTGCTCCCACATTTTCAATAGTTTTGAAGTTTCAGGGAAGATGTTGTTTTTGGTAATCTGATGAAAAATCTCTTTATTTCCTTTTCCTTTTTTATTTTATAGAGATGTGAACTTTGTCCCCATAAGGATGGAGCTTTAAAAAGAACAGATAATGGGGGTAAGTGCAGAGATTTTTGAAAAAATTTTTATTGAAAACTG